ACACACACACACACACACACACACACACACACATAGATGTATAAACGATACATGATAGTGTCGCTGAGTGAATGGTCGTCGAATTTACTCTAATATTAAACTTGCGTTATAAAATGCAGATATTAGCGGAATTAAGTATGACTGTATAATTTTTGTCCGCTTTACTTTGTATTTGAGAAGAAATGCTACCATTAATTATTAATTATCATCAGCTTATCGCCCTATGATTTTCATTAATAGGCTTACTTGACGAAAGAATTGCTTGAATAGTCTCGAAAACTATGAAAGAATTAAAAATCATTAATGTACGATAAATGATAACTGATACTGCTACAGAAAACAACATAAGTTAGTAAAAAATTTATGAAATTGTTGAAAAATTCTTGATGAAAAAGACAAAGATGATTATAGCAATACATATTATTTAAAAAATAAAGAGAAAATTTAAATGAAAAAAGTACCGAAATTAGTTCCTTATAGTTTATTTAATCCTGGATCCCCCAACATCTTACTGCTTTTGTTTTTTTTGCCATAATTTCATTAACGATCTCGAAATTAAGACAACCTGCCAAAATTGAATGATTATAGGATAAGTGGGATGAAAGCAGACCGCCTACAAACAGGCCACAAAATGATTGTCAGAAGCAACTGTTTACAGAATTTTTCTCTCTGGCTTATGCTTATTTTAGAAGTCTAATAATAATAATATAGATATGAGTGCACACATTCTATATAATCTTTATGTTATTTTAACATTGCTTCAAATGAAGCAAAATGTTAAAATAACATAAAGATCATTTAAAAAAGGCAAGCGCGGAAATTTTACTATCCGATTATAATGATTTTGGTAATGACTGCTTTTACAAAAGATATATCTGTGATATTTCAACAAATTATCTAAACTATCGATCATCTTCATGTTTAATGTATTTTCTGAAACTTTCTTCAACAGATTGATGAATTTCATTTGAAATAATAGGAAAAAGCTCTCTCTAAAATATGTCAATAGGGAAAAGCTCTCTTTAAAATAAGTCGCCCACTTTGTCCTTTTTTAGAAGCATTTATTTCACATACATAATCAACTCAACCTGTTTTTTAATCTTATTGGGGGCAGATATTTTAGTGCTCCCGAGTACATCAAGAATTCCCGGGTAATTGGAAAAAACATACCCCTTGGGCAACATTATTTTATCGGATAACTATTTATCGCTGATCCATTACTTCTTTGTGGGCCATTATCACTTTGCGTAAGTTAAAATTTTTAGCATCAGCATCATACAATCATAATTTTGTTTAATTAAATTAATTTAATTTAAATTAAAAAAATGACTATGAAGCTTGTTTGAGCAGTTAAAAAACTGCGAAGCAGGAAAAATTCACCGCCTTGCAATTATTTTATAAAAATAAAATGAAAACAAAGTCATCGCTTTGAAAAAATTACCCAATATTACAAAATTTATTAAAATAATGGCACTCCCACCATATCACAGGAAAAATTAGGAAGCCTTACAAGCAAATAATTACATCCTTAAAGTACTGTTATTCCTTTATCACAATTAATCTTTCGTGGAATGAGGAATCCTTGAAATATCCTTTTTGGAATCTGAAAAAATGGATTATCCAGATATTGCACTTCTGTATGATCTTCACTTAAGAACCATCTAATTAATTAACTTCTCTTTTCAAACCTATGTAAGTTGTCGAAAATATTATTCTAACTCACAAGCAAAAATTTCGAATAAATTTAAACAAAAGCAGTTTTCAACTAATAATTATGTTTGCATTATTGAAATTTATTTCAACAATTTCGAAAAAAGTAACGACACAAAATTTGCAACGCGATCATTTGCAACAGATTATTTTGGCTGCAAATCAAAAATTTTAATTTAAATTTCATAAAAAGACTAATTATCGAATTTTCTATTTATACACTTTCTTTCAAAAGGCCAAATGTCTTTCCCAAATGAAATGACACTAATTTGCATAGTAAAATTTCAGAAATTTAAAAAACTGGCTAATAAATGATATAAATGCGAGAAAAGAATATCGGCAATATTGGCATCCAACAAACCACTGCTATGTACAACGACATAACAAAGCAATATCCCTGCATTTTGTACTAAACAAATATTCCATCATTTTTTTTGTGTTTTTAACACTAATCATGTGAAATAACCGCCATCGACATCAGCAGCACAAGAATCTATCCATAAGATATCGAGAAGCAATTCTGGAATATCTCCTCATTTGTTTAAAAAAACTTTTGAACTGATGAATTTGTCATTCTCGGTTCAATTCCAGATTGGAACTGCATCTTGAAAAAAAAAGGACCTTTAAGCAAAAAAAAATTTAAATAGTTAAAAAGTGCTATTCTAACGATATCAAATACAGAGGTAGTTAACAAAATATGCTTGGAAATGAATGAATTATTTGGTATATATTTCATAACAGCATTAAATTGTATTATATTAATAAAATACACAAAAAATGAACTTTTCTTTATCAGACAGTCTTCAGTGCTAAGGGAAGATTTTTGATAAGTGAAACTGAGAGATTTCTACTCGCTGCATGATGGCGATGATAAATCAGAAGCATTCACTTGAGGCGAAAATTCGAGGTCAGTGCCCATATTAACAGAGAAAAGATGATTGTTTGATCCGGTTCCGGTCATCATACTACCATAACCACTGCTGCTTATATCGTTTCCCAAATCTGCATAGTGAGGTGGCGGTGGTGGCATCTGCAAATAATTTGATAAGTAAATCCCCCTAGTTTTTAAAAAATTTTTTTTTCAAATAATAGATTGCGAATTAAATCTTCAACACTAAATTCAAAAATTCCACAGTTAACAATTAATTCAAAATCAGAATAATATGCTAGATTGATCTGAGATACAATTTCAGGTTCAAGAATTTCAAATTTATTAATTTTGCTGAAATATGCATTTG